AAATAGTTATCGAAAGTATGAAATTTTAGAAGTGAAAAAATTGCACACTTACGAAAAAAAAAAAAGTGATTTTTTTATTTTACATAATTTTATATTAAATTGATATTTGTTTAATAGATTTCATCAAGTAATTTTCAAAATTATACATTTTATCAAAACGGATGTGTAATTTGAAAGTTATGAGACTGTAAAATTTTGAAGTGTTTAAAAAAAATAGAAAAAAAGGAGAAAAAAAAAAAGAAGAAGAAGAAGAAAGAAAGAAAGTAAGAAAGAAAGAAACCACCATATAAAAGCATGTTGATTACGGAAAAAGTAAAATTTTCTTGGAAAATCATCTAATTTCAAAAAAAAGAATCCCTTAGAATACAATTCCAAACATATAGAACCCTATTGGATCACAAATCTTTCTATAAGATCAATGACTAAAAAGAAGCAAAAAAGTGACTTTTCACAAATTAAAAGGTTTAGAAAACCCTAAACATCCCGACAGTTTCCCCCCTCCATTCATCAATATTTATTCTCACTCCATTTGGATCGTAATGTGAGAAAAAAAGAAAAAAAAAGATTGTGAGCTCCGTCTATTTTCTCACTATCATGTTTGGTGAGTAAAAAATAAAACATGTGGGAAAGTGATGAATGACATTTCTTTTTCTTCATTTGTATGTCACAATCAAAAATCCCACCGCCGTCTCCAACATAGAGTAGAGTTCATTAATTACAATTTTCCTCTCAAAAATTTGTATCTTTCTCCTCATTTTCTTCTATTAGTTATTCTCCTTATAAATTTGATATTTATTAGACACTTCTAATAAAATTTTCTTTATTGAGATAAAAATAATATATATATATATATACAATCATCTGATAAGTGTATAGCTTTTAATTAATTTTGTAAGAATTTTTTTAATTCTTACTAACATACTTAAAATTATTTTACTAGATTTCGAAAGGCAACAAAAATAAAAATAAATAAAAAAAACTAACAAAATTTATATCATGTGGTGTTTTAGGAAGTTGATAAAAAAATTAATTTTTTGATTTTTTTTTTGGGTGATTTTTTACCTTTTTTGTACTAAAAATGCTAATTTTTTTGTGATTTTTTTGACTAAAAAAATTAAAAAGACAAGAAATTAACTTTTTACGATGTATCCAAAACATCCCATATATATTAAGGAAAATGATTTTTCTCCCGAATTTTTCCTCCCCGAATCCCTCGACTTTTTTCTTTTTCTTTTTTTCTTTTTTTCTTCCCCCCTTTATGTCTGAAACACAGAGAGGAGGAGGAAGATGGAGAGAAAGAGAAAAGAGGGGAAGAGAGAGAGAGAGGGTCGAGGCCTTCGCCGATTGAGGGTCGATGCTGTCGCAAATCGACTCCACCGATCGAGGGTCCAGCCTGATTTTGTTTTTTTTGTTTTTTTTTCTGGATCTAAAATGAAAGGTCGAGGCCATCGCCTCCGCCTCCGCCGTCTCGGTCTCTCTCTCTCTTCTTCTTCTTCTCTCAGTCTCTCTCTCTCTCTCTCTCTCTCTTCTTCTTCCTTCTTCTTTTTGATTTTCTTCTTCTAAAAAAAAAAATCAAAACGACAAAACGACGTCATTTTAATTTCGAAAAGATTCGAAAAAAGACAGATTCGAGTTACATAACATAACTCATATATTAATTTTTCTATAAACATTTTAGAAGGGAAAAAAAAAAATTCATGTGGTCGTAATCTCAATAGGGATATGTCGCTATCACTACGACCTTCTATGATGTATATGTCACTATCACTATGACTTTTTAAATATTATGTTATATTCATAAATATGTACTATAATACAGTGACTTGAAGTCAGTAAGTCAATGGGGTTGGATTCTCTGATATAAAAAAAAATAAAAATAAAAAATAAAAAAATTGGGATTGGATTCTGCTTTTGATGAGATATGACCAAGGGACTAGTGGGGTTTGAGGTTAATAAGAACAAGTGGATGTGGATCAATGGTTGACTAGTGGGGTTTGAGGTTAATAAGGACAAGTGGACGTGGATCAATGGTTTATTTTCAAAGGTAGGTTGCAAATTAATTTTTTAATTTTTTTAAACAAGTTTTAAAAAATATAAATATAAATAAGAAAAGTAGTATGATTAAAAAGATTAAAAATTTAAAAATTTATTTTTAACTATATTGCCAAAACGATGAAATATAAGATTATGTTTGATTGATGCTATATGTTGTTGTAACATGTTTCACGTTGTAGTTTTGTATTGGTGTATCATATATGATGGTCGGCGGGGGAACGTGCTCCTATCCTTCAAACATATACCCCTCTCTCTCTCTCTCTCTCTCTCTCTCTCTCTCTCTCTCAATTAGAGGAGTCATTCTGTTTTTTAATAATTTTAATTTAGGTGTGTACCCTTTCAATTTTATTAATTGTTTTATATAATATACAAAAAATAATAAATATTGAGTGTGTAACTAATAGAATTATAATGGCATATCACGTAGGACGGACTTATGTGATAATTTTCCCTCTATTAACTTTTGGATTAAATTCATTTCTCTTTTGCGGCTTGGGGTTAGAGTGTTTTACCCCTATCATTCAAATATAGTCAAAAAATCTCCATATAGTTTTGAAGTAAAGTATTACCGTTAATTTTTTCATCCAAACTAACAAAATGTGTATTACACATACTATTTTTTAGAATGAATTTTGTTTTCTTGAAAATTAGAATGAAATTAATATAACAAAAGAACAATTTTGCCCCCATTTTTTCGCAAACTTAAAATTAGATTAATATGCTAATTAAAATATAAATAAAATTTTATTTAAATATACAATATAATTAAGAATTGATTTAAACTATAATTAAATAAATATAAAATATAAAATAATTAAGAATTGATCTAAAATGTAATTAAATTAAAATTAGATTAACATGTTAGAAATTATAATAAATAATTAAGAATTTAGGATTAATTGTGATATAAAATATAATTAAATTAAAGTTAGAATAAAAATTTAAGAATTACAATAAATAATTAAAAATCTATAATAATTGTGATTTAACTGAATTGATACTAGACATCATAAATTATGTGTTTCAGATAATGAGAGATGAGAGAATGAAAATAACAATAGTGTTTAAGGGTCTTATAGTCATTTCACATTTATAGTTAATGGCTTTAATGGTTGTATTTTAGTCGAAAACCACTTGAGCGGCATATGACTATTTTTAAAAAACAGAGGGTAAAGTGCTATCAAGCCATATCACAGGGAGATAAAATTGATTTTTCCCTAACTTTTTATTTTTGTCATGCGATGTAAGAGAAATTTTTGAGAATAATTATTCATTAATTTTGAAATATTACTTGACATTGTTCATTTGATATTTTTTATTAATTACTTAAGCCTCGTTTGGAAACTGTCTCTTTTAGCCTAAAAGTCAAAAAATTATTAAAAAAATTAAAAAGCCAACAACTTATACCAAAAGATCAAAGATTTTCTTTTCTCTTTACTTTTTGTACATCTTTTCGTAAAAAGCTAAAAAGTCATCACATATTTTAGCCAAATAGCCAAAAAGTTACTAAATTAGTATATTCCCAAACGAGGCCTTAGTAACAATTTTTACGCAGAAAATAATATTGATCCATCTTTATTTGGTAGTAAAAATGATTTACCTATGTTTTGGAATTCGTAGTTTGTAAAATAAAAGTTATTCTAACCAAACCTTTAAATTTGAATATGTCAAATTTTGACTCAATAACGGTTGTTTATGCATCAAGTACTATGTTTTGAAAAATACAAAAATTTCTCTATTTTTGAAGAATTTTCAGTGATCGAATTGAAATTATGCACAATTTTGAGATTTCTTGGCTTAGTCTTGAAATTATGTACTTCATTTACGTGATTGGTCCCCTTTTTTCTATTTTTAAGAATTTAATTTGAAACTTCTCATTTTCCTTATTTAAAATAGTTAAATTTCACTATTTGTAAACTGAAGCTTTTCCATCTTAAGATAATGCAATGTCACTATCTGTAGTGAACATAATAAAATTGTCTTCTTCTTCTTTTTTTTATTTTTATTTTTTTATTTTAAATTTTCTATCCATCCCATATCTTGTATGATACATCTCAACGAGAAATTTTTGAAAATACCAATTTTATCAAAAATAGATATCTAGATAAAAGTTATTGAACTTTTAAATTTTCAAATAATTTCAAGAAAAAAAATGTTCTCAAGTAGTAACAGTTAGAGTAATTTGATCAGAATTTGGACTCTGAAATATTAGAGGATTGAAACTAAGGCCTCGTTTGGGAACAGGCTAATTTAGTAATTTTTTGACTATTTGACTAAACAGCAATGCTACATATCCCCAGTGGGGGTGACCCCCAGTGACCCCCCCAGTGCCATGTGTCAGCTTGTCATTGGCTGGAAGAAAAAAAAAAGAATTTTTTGGACCAATGGGAAGGGACCCCAGCACCCCCACTAGGGGTCCGAAACTTTATTCTTGGCTAAAATATGAGCTAAACAAAACTAATACGTTTGGGATGATTTTTTAGCTTTTTACGAAAAGATGTGCAAAAAGTAAAGAGAAAAGAAAATCTTTGACTTTTTGATATGAGTTGTTGGCTTTTTGGCTAATTTAGTAACTTTTTGACTTTTTGACTAAAAAGAAGGGTTCCCAAACGAGGCCTAAGAATCATTTCTTTCGTGTTCTTATACTATTAAAATCTTATAATGAAATAAAAGTCCTAGCACCCAATTCTTTTGTGTTCTCTAGCCAGAACTCTCCTTTTATTAGCTTAGTATTTTGCTTTGCCTAAATGTTAAAAGGTAACACTAAAACTGTCCACAGAAAAATAAAATCAATCTCAATTTGAAAATAAATAAATAAATAAATAAATAAATAAAAATTAAAATCAAAATCAAAAGTACACAATATCAAGTGACATTGCATATTGGTCTGACAAGAAAATTGGCTCTTCATTTTCTACAAAAATAGCATCAACTTTGGTTGAGAGAGCAACCTCACATCTTTGCTTTATATACAATAATCATTGTTAGACATTAATATATATATATATATATACCAATTAATTAAACCACTACTGATTAGGTCCTCCAAAATCATCTCAACACTACTTCTTTCTCCTCCTGTTGCATTTTGCCTATCACCCTCTTGGCAGTGGCTCTAAAAGGACACGTGGAGCTCACAAAGCCGTTGACTAAGTGGAGATACGTCTTTAGATCGTGACATGTGGCAACATTTCCCTTGCACACGTAGGGTGACTCCCTGCTACTGAGTCTGAGCTCCCTTCCCACGTCAGCATATAGCCAGCGTGTGTCCTCAACACGCTTTTGAAGCCAGCTTGGCAGTCCTGCCATTTTGACTATCGTGCCATCAGCCGAGTCATTGTTGTCAATTACAAAACCGGGCACTTTAGTGATGAGATCATCTGAGTTCACGATACGAAGGATCTTGGTTCCACTTTTATCCAATTGGCATCGAAAGCTTCTGTTCCCGACCCGTGGCCCCCCAAAAGAGATGACAGTAACCAACGGTGCGTGATCAAATGTGGTGGTTATATCGTATGCGGTAAGTGTAGCTAATGCAGCACCAAGACTATGACCCACGATTGTCACGCTGAGGGGCTTATCACTGTACGATTGGAGAATCCTCGTGATCTCATCTCGCACGGTATCTCGTAAACTTGGATATGTGGTCGTATGTGACGTGTACATGCTCAAAAACCCGCTCTCAACCATGGGATCAGTAGTTTCAAGACCCACATGAGCATGATCACCTAAGCATGTCAACATGGCACGTAAATTCTCGAGCCATTCCAGGCTCGTGGCAGTGCCCCGATAAGCAATCACCACATCACGACGTCCCAGCCTGGCAATCTCCTGCTTGTTGTTACAAACCGCCACATAACCAATCCAGCTAGACCGGGTAGACACCCAGCTTGGTGCTCTCTCAATCCAGCGTGGCAGCTGAACCCCACACGTTGCACGCAAATTCCTCGTCAATTTATACCCACTATTGCCAAGCCCGCACTGAGTCAGCATTGAGTTCCTGGAATACAGACATGTGGCATAGCCTGGTGATGCCGTGTCAAAGTCAAAGCCACGATATGCTGCTTCGACGAACTCCCCGTACCGTAGTATCTCGCTGCGTAGATCATCATCAAGTGGATCAAGCAAGCCTTCCCAGTTGTTAATCCCTTGATACTCCGGCCACGTGTCGGCCAGTTTTGCTGGCCGTGTGAAGGCGACACGGGACCGGACCGAGTCAGTACTCCCAAGTGAGTTCCCTGAGTTTCTGAGCCTCAAACTCCGGCTATGACTCGGTGCTTGAGCAGAGCCATAGTGTGTGAGTGTGGCTGTTACTTGCTTTGCAAAATGTAACTTGCATGGCCTGACCACGTCATTGGCAACCCACATTTCTAGATCCTTTATGTAGATTTGTGGAGGCTCTAAGTAACTCGGCACACTTTGGCTAATCTAGAGTGGTCATTTTATAGTTAGATTATAATAGTTATTTGTGTATGGAGGGGGAGGGAGAGGGAAAGGGAGAGAGAGAGAGAGAGAGAAAGAGATAGGGGGAGATGGTCGGCGTGGTTGCTACTGAACAAAAGTCCAAGCAAACTAGAAGACGGCTGTGGGTCCCAATCATGATTATGCGTTTCTGTTAGAGAAGAAGGTGAAAGCTACCTGAAATAATGCACTAATTAGTCTATTAATTATTGTATCAATATTAGTTATGATATCATTATTGACTCTACTTATTAATTATATTATAAATTTTAAAAAGTTCTTAAATTATGTCACATCATCAATTGGTATACTAATTAGTATATTAATTGGTGCATATAACATTGTTCATAATGTACTTGGCCCCGTTTGTTTGGAGAGTTAGAAGGGGAATTGGGATTGGTAGTGAGGTGAGACCTACTAATATTGTATTTGTTTTGAGAGATGGGGAGGGGATTGATAGTGAGCTCTGGATTAGGATGGGCCTCCCCAAAGGGATTCGGATGGACCTCCAGAACTTGGTATTAAAAAAATAGTCCGGCGGATTAGAAATTTTTTGTTTTTATTTATTTTTTATTTTATTTTTTTACGTGTGAGGCATTTTTTTTAACATTAATGTTTAATTTTTTGTTAATTAAAAATCATTATTTTATTTGTTTTATTTTTTTCTAAAAATTTTTTATTTTATTTTAATTTTTTTAAAAAAAATTTCATGTTGGGCATTTTTTTTAAACATTAATGGTTAATGTTTTTGTATTTTTTTTATTTGTTTTATTATTTTAGATTTATTTTATATAAAAATAATTAATAATCCCTACACTAACAACTATCATCAAAACAAACACAATTTTACTTAATCCCCTCACTATCAATCCTCTCACTATCAATCCCCTCCATTCTACCTCTGAAAACAAACGAAGAAGAAGTGTTTTGAGAAACAAATAAAAAGCTAACTTTTAACTTTTTATTTATTTTGGATTATATTATTTCTCATATTTTTTTATAAAATGATAAAATAAACTAAAAAAAAATCAAAAAAATTAAGTTTTTACTAACTTTCGAAAATACCACTAAATCACTTTATTCATCTCATGCGTCAATGTACGAAAATTCTATAAAACACACGTCCAATTTTGGGTATATGTTCTAGTTAGTCTTTGTTTCGGAAGAATTACTTTTGTTTAGGAAGATTTTTTTTATTTGAATGTGAATGCGTCAATGTACGAAAATTCTATAAAACACACGTCCAATTTTGGGTGTATGTTCTAGTTAGTCTTTGTTTCGGAAGAATTACTTTTGTTTGGGAAGATTTTTTTTATTTGAATGTGAAAGTTACGAGAGAAAATGTAAAATAGTTGTAGTTTGCTTTTTTATTTTTATTTGGTCAATTTAACTCCTGCCATCGAGACTTTATGATGTTAGTGATTTTCTGATAGAGAAAATGACAATTCAGTTTATTTTTTAAAACATAGATGCATGAAAAAATTTATATTTTTAATTATTAATATTTATAAAGTTTTTCATTGATTTGTATTTTTTTTTTTATAAATATCACTTATATGATATTTTCCCTTTTTGATATTATGTAATATTTAGTTATGATTTATCTTTTAAATTATGATATTTGTGATAATCAACACCATCAATTATCATAATTTGTATATGGCACATACATTGTGAGTGTATGTATTCTAGATGACCTGTCAATATATTATGGGTAATGTTAAGGATACCAAATTTTCTACCAAACAAATGACCAAATGACTCACATGGGTGTGGGGTCCGTAATTTTGTGAACCTCACAATCATATTTATTTGGTAAAAAATTTAGGACCTATAACATTTTCCATATATTATTGATGCCACGAATCTCACTGTTCATAGCTATTTCCAATACAATACTAATACACGAGGTGGTACAACAAAGATGATTAATGTAACATTAATACCTTAAGAGATCTATTTTTTTATTTTTTTATTTTTTTTCATAGGCCCTATTTTATAATTTTAGGGCTGCGTTTTTTGCACTTCCCGAAGGGATTTTGTTGCGTTTTTGGCAGCCACGTTTTTGGACACTTTGTCCAAAAACGTGACTTTTTACTATGTTTCCAAAATGGCACTAAGACCGGATAGCAGCAGTATATGTGATTTTGATAATCTGGATACCTAAAAAAAAAATCACCACTTTCTTTTTATCATTAGTGATTTTTATTTTTATTTTAAATTATGTCAATTTTTTTAAGTTTTCTAATCTATCTTGTGTATAAAAAATTAAAAAAAAATCTAAAAACGAAAGTTGAAAAAGCTAGAATAAGCTTAAAAATTTTATTATATTTTACTTATTTTTATAATTTCTAGAATTTAAAAATAATAATAAATTTTGTTTGTCTCGTCAAGTTGAATCTAAAATTTTAAAGTTCTTGAATTTTTTTTATAAAAAAATAAAAATAAAAAAATTACTGAAAGGTGAAAAAAAAGAAAAAAGAAAAAAGAAAGCACTAAATAAGCAATCTCCAAATACCTAGATATTAGTCTAATCTTCTAAATTTTAATATGTGGAGAGATATTGGCTTATGTTTTAATTTAACTATTAACTTATTAAAATTATAACTTGTACAAAAATAAATAAATAAAAATGAAATAACAATTCAAAGTGAAAAAATAATTGATAAATATAAATTTATATAGAATTTTATATCAAAATGATATGCAAATGGAAATCTTGAAAATATGATTCATATTGTTATGAGTATTTGTTTATAAAGTGATAAAACCAAAGGTTGCTGATTTATTTTGGGTCAAATTTTATATAAATTTTTTATTGTTTATAGCACTATTCAATCAATTCAAATTTATTGTCATAAACAACTAATACAATTTTTATATTAGAGAAAAATAAACACTATAAAAAAAAAATTATCTCTCACCTATAAAAATTAAAGGGCAAATTACATATACACCCCTCGAGATTTGGCTAAATTACAGATACCCCCTGAGGTTTCAGAAATTACATCCCGCCCCCTGAGGTTTGTATTTTCATAACAATTTGCCCCTTGAGGTTTATATTTCATAACAAATTACCCCCTAATTTCTTATGCAAATATAGCATTCAGGGGGGAATTCGTAATTTCTCAAACCTCAGGGGGCATCTGTAATTTAGCCAAACCTCGAGGGGTGTATATGTAATTTGCCCAAAATTTAAACTATCAATCGTACACCATAAAATGATATTTCATTATTGAATTAGGCAAGTTGGTTAAAAAAAAATTAAAATTTAAAACAAAAAAAAACATTAATACCACGAGGATAAGTAAATGTTGACCCACCTAACTACCATAAAGAGGGAGTTGATAAAATTGGATTCATATGAGTGATGATGGTTTGAAAATAGTAAAATTATGAATTTAGATTTAATTATTTAAAAATTATTAAGATTTATTATTTTATTTTTTATATTTATTTTATATATAGATCTGATGCTATATAAATTTAATCTACACCATATAATCATTCATCTAAAAAAATCTGAATGGATAAGTTTAGTTACCAAACTAAAAGGTTGTTTGGAATGTTCTAAATAAATATATTTTTTGACTTTTTATAAAATATTAGTTGAGTTTGAAATGATGTGATAAAAAGATAATGTAATTTAAATAAAATAATGTGACTTAAATAAAATAATAATTTTTTAATTTTTTGATTTTTTTTAAAAATGTCAAACAAAATCTTAGTTATATTATATTTATATCAAATTATATATTTTCATAAAAAAATCAAAAATATATTTATTTATATCATTGTTTTGGAAAAGGCCGATCCAAGAAAATAACATCAAAGCCTCAACATCAAAGCCACTCTGGGATTGTTGAAAAACTGTTTACTTTACTTTCCGACCTGAGCCCCCTCTGACACATGGACGCACGTGTGGTCCATGAGCCGCGTACCGCTTTAAAATAATTCATCTTTTTATCTTTTTATCTTTTTTTTATCACATTATTTCTCTATTTTTTTGTATATTTTTTCATAAAAAGACAAAAAGTACATTTATTTAGGTCATTTCAAACAATCCCTTAGTACCCTTTTGAAAGCTGGTAAAAAATTAATTTTTTGATTTTTTAATTTTTTTCAATTATATTATTTTTTATTTTTTTAACACAAAAAAGTTTAAAAAGTTCCAAGAAAAAAAAAATTTAAATTAATTTTTTACCAACTTTTTAAAATACCCCCTTATACATGTAGGTGAAAAAAAAATTAAAATCGTAAATTTATGAAGTTATATAAGATTAGGGTATTATGGCCGAGTAATGCTAGGGACCTTAAATAATTTACTAAATATTTTACTAAATCTCTTACATTGGTAATGCTACATACAAATTCACATGTGTGTAGGTTCCACACTCATAATGAGAGATTTGATAAAATATTTAGTAAATTATTTAGGATCCCTAGCATTATTTATTCTGGCCAGGCTATGAACACAATTTGAGACTTCGGAAATGAGAAGCACTTGAGTGGGCTCAATTCGAATAATCTGAGGCTAGTTTGAATTGTTTTAGGATTTGAGAAAAATATTTTTAAAATGGTATGAATTTAGAAAAAAAAAATTTAATTTAAATTAAATTTGAACGGATTTAGACAAAGGCATTAAATGACCCAAATAACTTAAATTATATATACAAATATATAAAATATTAAATATATATATATAAAATATTTAATTTGATGATATTAAAATAATTTAAATCATTAGATCATATTTAATATATATTATATTATATTATAACACAATACAATTTTTTTTTTCTCAAACAAATGGTAAAGACCATCATAGTGGTGTATCTCTCTTATATTATATAAATTATTTATTTTAATATTATAAACAGTTTTTTAATAAAAAATTATAAAAATAGTCTAATTTTAACAAGGGGGATTTATCAGGAAATCATTTTTCAAA